CTGAAGCTAGTAGGTTAGTATGTGTTGAATTTAGTATGATGTTTGAAGTTTGATGATATGTTGTATCTATTATCTATTCATGAATATCAGTGTTATTCGTATATATCAATATTATTCGTGTATATCAATGCTATTCTTGTTTATTTGCATTATGTTTAAATGGATTAATTGTACATGTGTTAGTTGTGCCACTTGTAACACGTGTAATTAATATGTCATGTTCGTGTTTAAGATTTAAACACATTTTGTAATTCTTATCATGTTTGTATTTTAATAATTTATATCATTACACGTGTCAAATACAACTTGAAACACAATGGAAACATGAATTGTCAGGTTTAATATTAATCCAATGCTTACTAGGATAGGGTTATGTGATACCTATAAATACAGGCTAAAGGGAGCATAGGTGAGAGACAAATCCTTTGATTATAGTGTTATCATCATTTATCGCTATAATGGGTTACCACCCTTTTTCCTACAAGGATGGCTTGATGATGGAGAAACGGTACATTTTGGAAGAGAAGAAGAGGAAGAGATGAAAGGCTGTTTATGGAGAGGATCCTCAAATCAATGCCATATTTGATGCATGTAAAAGGAGGAGGAAGAATGAGACACTGTTGTTGAGAAGGTAATGGCTGAGCTTGAGATCGTTATTGAAGATAACGCAGAACGTAATAGAAGAAAAGGCCAACCTGCCATCAACAAACTCTATTTCTATCAAAGAAAAGTTTTCAACTAAAATTCTTTGATCGTGAAGTTAATTTTAACAGTCTTGAAGAATTGGATATAGCCCTTCTGGATGACAGCAAGTAGTAGTATAAGACTTCGGTCAAAGGATAATTAAGAGGTTGAAGCAGTTGAAAGCTGAAAAGCCTAGTGCACAGCGTCGTCCTATGCTCGTAAGCCTGTGAACAATGCAGTGCAACAAGTATTTGATCTTCTTGACGGTTGCCGTAATTTGTTACCTGGTTTTATATTAATGAAGTTAAAAATTTTTGCATCATTATTTAAAAAGGTTGCTCTCCTTTTGCTTTTCTTTTCCCTAAATTAATATATATTCACTTTCCATTTTATTTATATTATTAATGTTTTTTTTTTTTAACTGACGTTGTCATGGATTAATCCTTGATTGATGAAACTATAAATTTAATAATCTACCAACAATCTACACGACCGTTGGCTGGTTACGAATATTATTGCTAATTGCATATTTAATGTTCATCCTTAGGAAAAGGTTTTGTTAATGCAATATATAGTAAGAAAGATTAAACAAAAAAACTGTCATACAAGTCTTCTAAGTACCAAATAATTGCGAACTTAATCTACCATTTTAATCTTTTTAATTGATTGACTTATTATTAATTGACAATAACAAATTATAAGTCGTAATGTTTTGATTGTTTATCAAATAACACAAACCTTTTCATTATGCATTAGTTTTTCCTTTTTTCTTTTGTTTTTTTTTTTTTTTTTTGAGCAACTTTTATGTTAGATTAACCATTTTCTAATTTTATTTCTATAGTTGCAAGCACATGCAATCTACATTACATTCTTTTGTTCTTCTTTTGTTAATTATTACTATCTATAAATTTGATCTTCTTAATTGCTTAGTAATACTTCAAAATATATGCATGCCAATGTTAGGAAACCTTTAACTCAAAATAATATTTTCCGAAAGGAAGGAGTTTTCTAATGAAAATAAAAGTAAAAAATTAAAAAAAATAAATAAAAAAAGAGGGTAAAAAATAAAAAAGAAAAGGTAAAATTAGGTAAAAGAAGATTTATTTTGTACACGGAGCACAAATTTAATTAAGTATCATATTTTACATTTTTTATTAATTAAGATATCAAATTAAATAATTTGCAATAATTCAAGCCTTAGTTTGGAAATCTAATTTTAATTCAATTATGAATCTTATATTTTGGGAGCCACAATTAATTAATTTCTTTTAAATAAATTTGGGGATTTTTGAAATTTTCATTTTCTTGAATGCACCTAAAATTCAAATTAGGACTATATCGAAACCTCATCTATATGATGTTTGAAAGAGAAGTTGCAATTTGGTAAGATTTCTTAATGTTCAAGTTCATGCACACCTATATACATACGCAAATCAAAATGAAGAATAGTAATAAAGTTAGCACTCTCTTCATTTTGAATGTCATACACAAACCAAAATGAATAATAGTAATAAAGTTAGTACTCTCTTCATTTTGAATGTCATTTTTCTTTTTTGAATTGTGCCAAAATTATAACCAATTTCATCGTTAACATCTATAACCGTTATTTTTTTCTATGTTCCATGTTATTTTTTAACAATTTTCCCTTTGTACTTCATAGCATTAGAAGTTATAATTTTTTTAACAGTTATATATTATCAATGTAATAATTTTTTATAAAAATATCAAAACACTAAAATCAAAATCTTTTTTTTTTTTTTATCTTGATGAGCAAAAGTACATATTCAATTTTTAAAATAAAAAGGTAATAATGATAGAATTCGTTTTCTATATACTTCTATTGTAATTCTCATAATGATAATACCTATGCTGAACTAAGGTGGTAAGGGAGAGAGAGTTGAGGAAATTTTTGAAGAATTTAATTAATGATTGGAAGTTAAACTGCTTTTTTTTATTACTTTTATAGAATGAAAATTCAGTTTAAAACTTAAATAAATAACCCATACTTGCAATTACTAAATCTATACTAATACTATCAACAAATTAATAATCTACAACCTTAATTATACAAAATCTATTAAACTCAAATGTTTTTATTCGAAAACAAATCAAAATTATTCAATCAATTTCAATTAAACCAAATAATATTGTTGAAATATTACCTCGGTATTAATGTTTTAAATACAAAGTAAATTACCTTTTTATCACTTAAATTTTTAAAAATTTTTATTTCTATTATCTAACTTTTAAAAACAACTCTTTAATTAGCAACGTATATAAGTGTTCTTATTTTGATCACTCAGTCATTAAAGATAACAGACCTATCATCTAGCATTCAATGTGTTATCATACTTTGGTTAGATGGCATACCCACGTCACTGATAATCAATATGTTATCTTTCATTGTAATTGAGTTATCAAAATAATAATAATAATAATAATAAAAAGTGACTACAAAGGTAACATAAATTTTTTTGTTAATAATAAATTTCTTCCAATTAAAATTTTTCGCCAAACTTTTAATTAAATTAATAATTAGGATCTTCATCAATTTGAAATCTTAATTATATCCTTTATTTTTTTCTTAAAAAAAAATTACTTGTTAATCATGTATTTGGTATAAATTATACGAAGATGGATCAACATACATTAGTGTAAAATTTTTTTGTTTTATATTTTTTTAATCATTGATTTTAATAAATTAAAAAAATTAAAAAATTTTATATTTAATTTTATAATGTTGTACGTTGATTCCTTTCTTTTACCAAAAATCTCGTCTAAAAATTAATAATAATGTAATGTTATTAAAATTATAAAATAATTCTGTTGTATAATTATGAGGCACAAATCCTCTTAAAAGCGTTCGATTACCATTATTGACAATCTTCTTCTATTTCTTAAAAATCATTCTTATCATCTTTAAAATTTAATGCTTCCAAATTGGAAACTTTAAACTCCAACAATTGAATAATATTGGCGACAATTTAGGGTGGTAAATGTAAAAAACCTTAATATATAGACAAATACATTAAAGTTATCCCACTTAAAATTAAAGTCAAATTCATGAACAACTCATTTTTGTCTTAAATTATAATTTAAAGGTTAAATTGGGTATAATATTATAATCAGTTGAGATAAATTTAATTTTGTTAGTTTTAAATTTATCATGATAATTTAAGAATGAAAACGATTTTATTATGTTAATAATCATTTTAAAAATTAAAAATAATTGTGTTTTTTTTTTCTTAGAAATCATATTTATACCCTACTATTATTTTAGGGTCTAGGAGAAATGAGATGATATTTAGTCAATTAAAATACTTAATTGAATGACACGTGTCTTTAATTGTCATATGTTCATTAAGTTAAATGAGTTATAAGAGATTATATTATTTGTAATTAATTGGATTCATGGATACTATTCATTTATGTTCTTATTCTTTTTTGTTAAATTACATGAATTTAATTATCATTGAATTTAACTATCCATAAATTTAATCACTTATGAATTCATGATATCCATAAACTAATTAATTGTGGATGAATATAATTTATTTTTAGTGTTATTTAAATTTAATATTTTGAGTTTACATTCTTGGTTTATATCATTAGAAATTAATTTTTAATTTTTAGTTTATACATAAGTGGAGTTTCAATTAAATGAATTTGTTGATTTATTCACTTAGATATTATTTAATAAATATTTATTATTTATTCATAAAGAATAAAATTATAATCCAAGCGAAATCAAATAAGTTTTTCTGGTTTTTTATAATGGGAGAATGTAACTTGAAATTTATGACTTTATTTAGAATTATTTTTTTCAATTCTAAAATTAGCGAATGACCTTATAAGTAATTATTAAATAAAAAATCAATCTTTTAAAAACTCATTTCTTCAAAGAATATTAATTAGCAAATTTTAAAGTTGATATTGATATATTTAGAATTCAAAGGAGGAGCCATATACACAGATATTATATTTTGAATAGTTCAAATATGCTAATTAATTAATTTAAATTAAAACAATTTAACGATAACAATAAAACTTATTTAGATTAAATTATCTTTTGATCACTTAATTTTTGAAAATTTTATATTTTGATCATCTTCGAGATTTTATATTTTGATCATCTAACTGAAGGATAACATTTTGATTATATCTGTTATGTATATGCCACCTAACGAAGGTATAATGACAACATATCAAGGGAATGATCAGTTACTATGCATTTCTTGTGTTCATGTTTCAATTAATTTTAAACATATTAATCGTATCATATTACATGTATATGTATAATAAGCACATCTTGTCTTAGGATTTTAAGTTTTGACATGTTTAATCATTTGTTTTATATCTATATTTGGACACGACATAAATACAACACGAATACACAAATTGTCATATCTAGATATCGGGCAGGATTTAAGCTGGTTGGGGTTTCTCCTTTTCAACATCAAGTGCAACTAAGACCCAGGTCACTTCTAAATCTAGCAGCTGAATTTGGCAAGATGTTTCCGATATCCAAAGTGATAATATCACAATAACACACCATTTATTCAAGTATCATATCAAAAACATATTCTACAGATATGGCAACTGCATTATTGGATCTCCAACAAAATTAAGATATGCTAGAGAAACTCCGAAGATCTAATGATTGTTACCAATTGCACCTAATCATGCTTCTTAACTTTGAACTTTCCCTTGGGGATCTTGCTCAGGACACCAGCATCCAGCTTTTTATAGCGACTTTTAAACTGGTCAAAAATATTGTAAACAAAGCTATCAATTTGATCATCATACCTCTCGTACAGGACTGGTAACGTATGGGCCGCAACAAAACCTGAGAAGCAAAATAAAAACTACAAGATCAACACCAAAGCACATAGAGACAGATATGCACATTTATTTTTTTTGGGTTCATGAGGCTTTCAGGATTTGAACTCTAATAACTGGAACAAAGAATCCAATAATCTACCCACAGACCACGAAACTGTTGGCATATGTGGATATTTTTCAGGAAGTAAGGTAAAGAATACCTTTCCTGTTTGTTCCATGAGATGAAAAAAATAAGATAAAAGTATCTCTAGACCCATATATATTGGTCACATGGACCATTGATTTATCCACAATGTGGAGAGCATGCCATCATTTACATCATGATGCCAAAAAAAAAAAAAAATCAAAATCCCTGAAAATTTTACTTGTCCATATTTGTACCAGACCAAACTGATCATAGATCCAGCAAACCACAATTTCAGGTGATGTTAAATGCCCAAATTGATTATGCTAGCTCAAGGGCAACAACCTTATTGTCTGATGGGCTTGATTGCATCAATTATCACAAGTTTTGGTTATAATTAGATGGAATAACTTGACGAAAACAAATAAAAGTTCAAGGCTAGAGTTCCCACTTTGAAAAAGTTCAGTCACTAATTACATTTTATAATCTTTAAATTTTATTAAACTATAGACAAATCTTGGAAATCTCAATTCCTACTTGAGAGAAGATTTTTTTTTTTTTTTGGCACTGGTGTTGCTTGCAAGTCGGAGGACCATGATCTTTTTGAGGCACTACTTATTTGAGTTGAAACTTTCAAATGCAACAAAGAGAAAGGGCAAGGGATTGCTAAATGCATGCAGCTAATATTCGTGGTCATGTTCATGCCAACCAAGAAAAATCAGCTAAATTTTAAGCTCAAATAGATAATCAGTTTGCAGACAATTAGCACAACTAAATTTATTGGACCAACAAACCAAATCCCAACAGATCAACTTGATATCAACAACACTACAACTTCTTGCCTGTTGTCACGGTTTTAGGGTCCCTTCTTTCTTAACTTTCAATCACAAGCAACCCATTTGTTCCAAACATAAAATGAATTTGTCTGCTTAACAATGTTCAGAGCACACAACCACCTATCAGAGTATTACCATGTTGCGAGATAAAATTAATAAAATTTCTTACCAATGTACAAAACAGTCAAAAAGTCGCACCAGCTTCCTAAAACAGCAGCAACCCACAAGCTTACAACAACCTGGAAAGCTTTCTGATCATTAATAATTCACTCCAGCAAATCTAGTGTGACAGATGAAAGATACTAGGAATGCAGATTCACTATAATGTTCTTCCTCCACATACTGTGATTGTAAGCAAAGTTGATAATGTTCTTTAAAGGCCTAAAACATTTCAATTATTTTCTGCCTTTTGGATCATCAGTGCTGATATTTGTTCAGAAAATATTTTTTTCATTTGATTGTCAAACTTTTTGTTGGATTGTCTATAAAGTTGCAAGCAGTAATACTATGTTATTAAGGGCCATTTATCGACATATATCACTTTAATATTTTCAAATATTAACAATCAATTACAACCAAATAAATAACGAAAAATTTGAGAACCAAATTAAAGAAAGAGTGAAGAATGCATAGCAAATAGAATGCATAAAGAAATTGATCACAACTTTTTTCCTCCTTGCATTAAGGATACATGGCTTAAGAGTTTGTTGAATGTTTCTAGAATATATGCTGGAAATTTTAACAGGTTCATGGATCAGCAAGGACCATTTACTTTGCAAATATATGGCTGTGAAGGGAAGAATACTAGGAAAGTCTCAAGAGCCTACCACAAGAAATTGTTTCAAGTTTCCTCCACATGCAACATCCTGCAGAAACTGTAAACCTCGGTTCACCTCAGTACCAAATGACCTGCCAATGCTGACAAATAATTCGTCGGGCAAAACTATGCGTGGCACTTGAGAAGGTGACCTATTGCCATGAAGTAAGTTATTGAAAAAAATTGAAATCCCACCAGCAGCACACAAGAGTACCAAAACCTTAAAGAGCAATAAATAACAAAAAGTAAAAACAGCACATAAGGATACCTCTGAGTTACCTGTTAAGTAAACCAGAGGCATTTGACCAAACAAACTGAGCAAGCATGGCAAGAACCACGGCAAAGCATAGAAGAGTCAGGAAATGGTAATTAAGCCATTCAAATAGAACCCATATTGCTGTTGCACCAGCCAAAACACTGGCTGAGATCTTCTTGTTCCTCCATAACAAAACATCAGCAGCTGCACAATTTACAGTAACAAAATTTATCGATGCAGGTGTTTTTAGCAATCTGAAGAAAAGAGTAGAAAGTCCTACATTTTCCACCCCCCAAAATATGGTGGACAGGCCTCTGACGTCCAAAAAGCCGACTGAAGCTAGAGACAACTGAGTTTGATTTCTCTTCCTCAAAAAAAGACACAGATTTCTGCTTAGAAACACTATCAGCAATGGTCTCCACTAGATTGTTCAAAAAGTCCTCTGAGGTTATTTTCTCAGGCATTGTTTTTGTGCTTCAAGAAAATAGAGAAATTATCAGCCCTGAAATCCCATCAATATAGTAAAATCTAACAAATAATTTGATGTTCCTTTTTTTAATGGTATATTTTGCAATATTTTTGGAAAAAGGGTTCTTTTTTCAAATATTGAGTTTTGATAATTAAAGTCTATTACCACACACACACACACATACATACACAAAAAAAAAAAAATCATTTTGCTTTAGCTTTAGCTTCTCGGTATACACATTTAAACACTCAACTGAAATATGAGCAACAATTCCAAGTAATTTTGGTTAGCTAGATGAATCCCATGCCATATCCACCATGAGATGTTTATAAGATCAAATATTTTTTCACTCCTCCAAGACAATTTGATTTTTCTGTTTCTTTCCTCTGAAGCCCAAATATCACTTCTCATCAAGAGTTGATAATTTTAATTGTCAAAAACTACAACTACATCAATGCTACAATAGGAAGACCCTTGGAATAGATAAGCTTCAAGAATCCCAAATCCAGCACATGGTTAGTCTTTTTGCAAGAGAACCTATGGTTGCTAGTTGCTTCAGATAATATCTAAGCAGACTTGGCCCACTACATGTTGGTTGAACAATAATCATGTTTTAATTTATTGGGCAAATGCTAAAGCCAAGACAGTTGGTTGGTCATAACTCAGATCTCAGATCAGTAGCATAAGTCTCTCTCTATTTTTGATAAAAAAAAAAAATCTAGTATCCATTCGAATTGCATCCTGTTCTTTTCCATTTTAGCTAACCGCTATTATACACATGGTTTTTGAGTGATGAGTCTAGCAATTAAAACATATGCAGCTATACCATATAATAACCATCATGAATTAGAATTTTAGAGGTTTAGGCTAGGTACAAAGCCAATTTTCAAGATGTTGCTTCCATAGACCACAAAGAAGGTGTCCATCTACCCTTGTCTTCTAAATAGATCACGCAGATGTTTTAATTTCTCAAATTCTAACAAATTTTTTAATTGTTTTATGATATCCTTTCTCCCAAATGCTTCTTTGTCATCTGTGTTTCGCCTACACAGCATTTGGTCAAGACTTTGTTATTCTAGATGGCAGTCAGCATAAAAATTCATACGTAAATTTTCCAAATAACCACCCCCCCCCCCCCCCAAAAAAAAAAAAGCCTTTTACTAGAGTTGCCTTCACCTTTCACAATAAAAACTTTTTCATTAAGCCAATTGCAGCACAGTGTGCAACCAGCGAGACATTAAGGTTTCATAATTGATTAAAGAAAACGAATAAATGACTAAAATGCACCAGCAATTGTAACATGTTTTGTATAAAAGTAAAAATCATGTATTTCTCAACAAAAAAATTACATCATCAATTCTTAACTCTTCAAAAATATTATTATTTATTTTTGTATGTAAAAACACTTTTTTTTACTCTTTGTCTCAGAAACCAAAAAGCAAAAGAAATAACAAAAAGGTAAGTTATGCCTCCAAATTCTTGTTCCGACCAGTATGCTTTAACATTGCATTTAACGCTTTTTAGAGAAATATTTGAACTGTGTTTCAATACATGAACCTTAACCAACCCCCCCCCCCCAAAAAAAAAAAGAAAAGAAATAGTAGTAGAAATAAAGCAAACAAAATATTTAGTATCCTCAAGCTTGCCAGAATATGTTACTACAATTAAAAAACAAGAATCCTCAGAAATAGTTAAACCTCAAGGAAGGGACAGCAGTGAAGGCAAGGACCAAAGCAAACAAAATAAATCAGGAACCAAACAAAACCAACAAGAACTCGAAAAATTTTAACAACCCAGAAATCAAAAGTTAGAACTTTACTAGAATAAAATATAAGATAAAAAAAATCCATGATCAAGGAATTGCAATTCATGCAGAAAATAGCATCATTTGTAAAAAGGAAAAAAAGATTGGAAGGAACGCAAAAGAGCACTAACCAGGGAGAGAGTTGGCGATTTGTTTGAGGAGAGTGGCTGACATAAACAGACAAGAAATGGAAAGAGGCATCAAGTACTTCGACCTTTTACCTGTGCGTTACTTCCACTCCCTGCAACTTTAAAAAGTAACGTTACGGATAAATATTAATAAAAGAAAGAAAAAGAAAAAAAAAAACTATTAAAGAAAAAATAAGGTATATGTATTTTTTTATAGTTAAAATTAATAAAAAAAATGAATTTTAATAATTATTATTTAAATAAATAATGAAAAAAATAATTTATTATAATTTTTTTTAATTATAATTTTTTAATAAAATAATATATAAATATATTTTCATACTACTTAATTTATATAAATAAATTTTTTTTAAATAAAATTAAATATATTTAATATGATAAGATATATTAATTAATTATTGATTTATTTTAAATTTTATATTTAATTTAATTTTTTTACTTATCCTTATAAAAATTTATTTTTTTATTATTAAAACTTAAAAAATAATAAAATATTTATAAACTATGATGTTATATAAAATATTTATAAAAAAAAGATATCTTTGCTTAAGATATTAATTATATAATCAAATCTAATATCATAATAAAAATATAAATATAATAATTTTTTATAAAAATAAAATTTATTAACTTTCTTTTACTTAACTTTTTCTCAAATTAAAGTATTAAAAAATAAATATTATGAAAAAAAATTATTAATTATTAATTATTAATTTTTTATTTTTTAAAATTAAAAATTTATTCAAACAAAAAATTATTTTTTCTATTTTCATTACTTATTTATTTTAATTTATTTTCCTTTTCCTTCTCTCAATACAAATATTTCGTAAAATTAAATATGTTTTTATCATGTTTGTTTTTGTGATGTCCACAGAAATATTGAATTGGGTCGTAACGTAGGCATCTTCTGACTGCCGGCTTGACGGGTAGTTGTTTATTCTATTACTTTTACTCCCCTAATCTTCAATAGTCCTTCACGTGGAAACAGGGAATAATATTATTAATGTAATTTTTTAATTTTAATATATTATATATTATTACTGTAAATTTTTAATTTTATAAATAAAATTAAAAGATAGAAATATATTTTATTTTTATTTTTAATTAATTTTTTATTTTTTAAATATATCTTAAAAATTTGACATATATGTTATTTTTTTAATCTTATTTGTAATGTCTAATAATTATAATATCATTGTACTTGATAATTTTATTTTACTATTTAATAACACAATATGATTCTAATAATCGTATTCTTTTGGTATTTTCAAAATATTTTCAAAGTTTCACGTAAAAAAAAAACACATTTTCATGGTTTTGCTTTAATTTTTAACGTTGAACTTTTGCATTTTTCCAAATACTGAAAACGAATAGCAACAACTTTTGGTCGACTAAAATGTTAATCGGTGTCCATAGATAAATCTGTTCAAGAAGAGTTGGGCTACGGCCAAAGTTCACCCAAATTTTGAAAAGGTTAGAGTAAAAATGTTAACTTCATTACACATAAGGAATTGGGCTACTGTCCAAGACATTTGGGCTAGCAACCATGTAAAAAAGATTTGAAAAAAATATTAAATATATTAAATGGATCCGTATAAAAAAAAATATGGAGCATTTAGTAAATGAGACGAGAAAAGCACACATTTTTTAAATCATACAAAAAACGATAGAATTTTAATTGAATTAATTAAGTTTTTTTTAAAATTTGATTCCAATGGAAATAAAATTTTAAAATTTTAAAATATTATGTATTATTAAAAAGAATTTTTGAATCAATTAAAATATTATTAAAATTAATATTTAAAAATTATAAATTAAAGAAAATTTAAACATATAATATATTTTTTAATTCGATATATTTTAAAAATAAATTAAAAACTGAAAAAAAAAATCCAACCGAACTTTTATCATTAAGATAATTCTTGAAATGTGGTGTTTTCCTAATTGAGGTGCCATGTCCGACAACCCTCCAAGTCCAGTCATCGCCTCCCCTAATTCCAAAATGAAGTCCGACGTGGACTTGTTAAAGAGTAACTCAAGCCACATGGCACCAATAAGAGCCTCAAGAAGCTTATCCCAGATTAATAGTCTGATCCCCCTTCATCATCCAATATCCAAAGACAAGCCAATTCCCTTCTCATATCAAAAAAACCAAAAGTCCCACTCATTTTTCTGTTAGTTTTATACACAAAGCAAAAAGCACAGCCAAAAGAGAAAAGTTTTCGAAGTGTAAAACAAGGAAAGAGCAGCATGTACTCCACCACATGCTTCTTGCACCACCATGCACTCACAACCACAAGCAGATCATCATCATCATCATCACAGCGGCAAGCTGCAAACATGAAGCCAAGCCAGCTAGTTTGCAAGGCTCAGAAGCAGGCGATCCAAGAGGATGATGGAAGCCTTGTCCTGTAGGTTGGCTCCCACTGTGCTCATTGGTGTTGCAGCTGTTGGCTTTAAGGTTTCTCCTGCTGATGCAGCCTATGGTGATGCTGGTAACTTCTTTTCTCTTTCTCGTTGTAATATTAAATTTACGAATATGGACGCCATAATTAATGTGTTCTTCTATAACTATTATACACGCGTGTTAATTTGTGTATTTGTCTCTTATAACCTGCAATTAAATACAGATTATGCCTTTGATTTTGAATCTCTTTGGCAAGTTCCAACTCTCCAAGAATCAAGCTATAATTTTTCATGATATTTGGAAAAATGCTACTTTAATCTTAATTTTTTTGCACGGAGAAGACACCCAGACCAGATCATGATTGTTTTTGTAAGAGGGTATGCTTAACTGCAGAAATCTCTACAAGATACTCTATTTATGAGGTCTATGGTGCTTTAAAGAATCCCAACATTTGAGTCAATGATTGATGCATGATTTTTTATTCAAAAGAGCAGGTTCAAATCCCCTTTCACCAACTCAAAAACAAATTATATTGCTTTAGAGGTCATCATCCGTATTCCAATCGCATTAACATGTAATAAGGCAATGTCAGCAGCCATTTTGGTCTCATGCACTCCATGAGGGTAATGATATTATATGGGAAATGAAATAGGGATAATTCATTTGTAGATCATCATTTTGGATATAATGACTTGAAATTGTGGTTGATTGCAGCTAATGTATTTGGTAAGCCAAAAATAAACGCAGACTTCTTACCACACAATGGGGATGGGTTCAAGCTGTCAATACCATCAAAATGGAACCCAAACAAAGAGGTAGAGTACGCAGGTCAAGTCCTCAGATACGAGGACAGCTTCGACTCAACCAGCAATGCTGCTGTCATGGTCACTCCAACTGACAAGAAGTCCATAACTGACTTCGATTCCCCCAAGGAATTCCTCTCAAAGGTATATTATGATTTCTGTATGTCCACAATTGGTCCTTTCAAGAATTATGAATATAATGTTTGCTGATTAATTTGCTTCTCATGAATCTTTGCAGGTGGACTATCTGCTTGGAAAACAAGCATATTCTGGCTTAACTGATGCTGAGGTAATTCACTAACATATCAAAAGAGAAAAAGAAAGGAAATTAAAAGGGTAGTTAGGTCGGCATTTTTAGTCATGTATGTTTCCAAAATCGCTTGCAAAGTGGAAACTTGATGTAACTCGAAACTTAATTCAGGTTTATACAATCACCCTTAAAAAATAGCATTTAATAGACAAAAGTGGCATTTAATAGGTTCTGAATTCAAATCCTCCCGGGATGTAACCTCCTTTGTATGTAAAAAAAAAAAGAGTGGACACATGCAAAAAAAAAGAATGGACACTTAACATAGTTATAGCAGATTTTGGGAACTATTTTTTGTCTCTCTCATAATTTCCTTCCTGGCTTCTTTTTCCGATTACAAGCAAATCTCTAATGTCTACTTACATATATACTTGAATATGTCAGGGTGGCTTTGACTCCAATGCCGTGGCAACCGCAAATATATTGGAGTCTTCGACTCCTGTGGTTGGTGGGAAACAGTACTACTTCTTGTCGGTGTTGACGAGAACTGCTGATGGAGATGAAGGTGGCAAGCACCAACTAATTACAGCCACTGTAAATGATGATAAGCTTTACATTTGCAAGGCACAAGCTGGAGATAAGAGGTGGTTTAAAGGAGCTAGAAAGTTTGTGGAGAGCACTGCAAGTTCCTTCAGTGCTGCTTAAAAACTTAAAAGGAGAGATTTTATGTAAATCTTCTTAGAAATCATGTTGGATTTGAGTTTGTCTATCATGGATCTACTCCCGTCCAAAGCTTTTGTTTTCAATTTTTGTCTTTTTGAGGAAACTTTGGGGATATCTGAATATTTCTTGGCACATAATTCAAGAGGAATCCTTTCGCTATATATTTTTTACCAAGTGATCGCATCAGAATAGAGAAGAAATTGAAAGTGTTGAGTTTTATGGGTATATTAGTAAATAAGTACGAAATTGGCATCCAAATCATACTTTACGTAAATTAAATTATTCGATTCGGGCATTATCGAAACTGGTGCCGATGTAATTACTTGTTAATTTGATTTTACCCAATTTAATTCGGAATAAATTTATTGTGTTAGTCCACTGATATAAAATAAATATAATAAATTTTCACTTGAACAAAACAAATCATTTCTTAATGTTTTGAAAATACATTAAAATATAATATATACACTTAATACGTTTAAAATCAAATTTAAACTAACATAATAATCATTATAAAAAATATCAAATATGAATAAATACTTGAATTATCGAATAAACAAACACTAAAATAATATTATCACATCATTTGATATGTCATGTGATATTATTAATATGATATTATAAATTAAAAAAAATAATTTTTATTGATGTAATAATATTATATGACCTTTAATAATTGATATGACATTATCATATTAATATACCATTAAATATTAACAGTTGAGTAACAAAAAAAAATATTTACTCAAATATTAATAATTAAATCGAAAATTTTATTACTTATATGACCATTTTAAAGATAAAATCCTAGTTGGATGACTAATAATGTGTTTTACTCTTTATAATCTTATCAAATCTAATCGAAATTATTGAGTCAAATTTAAATTTGAGTAGTTTAATTAATTATTAATCGAATTTGAATATAAAAATATAATTCAATTAAACTTGAGTCAAATTTTGATTTGAATTTTTGAGTCAAATCAAACTCAAATTTGAGTGTATCGATTTGATTCAACTTGATTAATGACTAAATAAAAAATTTTAATAGTTAAATAATCATTTTAAAAATAAAATCATAGTTGAACAACTAATAATGTATTTTATTTTTAAAAATTTTATCGTACTTAATCAAAACTACTAAACCGAGTGTAAGATTAAATAGCTTAATTAAATTATAGACGAAACTCAAATATGAAATCACGTTTTGGTCTCAAACTTCTTAATCAAGCCGAACTCGAATATGAAAATGTATCGATTCCACTCGATTAGCCCTTAGCAAATCCTTTAATGCTAATACTCCATGAGAATCAAAGTTAACACCAGGCACACAGGTACTGATGAGCAAGCAAGCTTCAAATTTTCACCATAACTGTAATCAAATTAATTAAATGTTAAAAAGGAGAACAGCAAATTTATTATCAGAAAGTTCCGGCATTGTTGACAATCTTCTTTAATATGAATGTCCGCTTTCAACAAGGAAAAGTATTTACATCAAACCAATTATGAGACATCAATCACTGGAGTCTCTATGCATTCAATCTCTCAGGTTCCTCCATTGCAATAATGGATGCCATTACTGTGATCGCCTTTCCGCTTTGAGCTTAGATTGTTTAAGCTCCATATCCGAATTGTACGATCATCACTAGCTGATGCCAACATGTGAGGGTTTGCTGGATTCCAGCTCACACAATTAACAGTTCCAGAATGACCTGGTAACGCCTCTATAAGTTCACCTGTGCCCCTATGCCATATATAGACCTAAACATTAAGAGTAAAAAGAAAATTAAATTTCACACGCTTCAGGTTATAAATTTACGTTTACATAATGTCTATGCATAAGTTTCGTTAGTATTTCAGCACTATACTTGCGACAAAGACAGACTAGGGTCCACCCCATGAAGCCATAATCATCTATCTAGTAGGAATGAACCAAGATCCATTTTTCAGGACTAAAGTGTTAGGCACTAAGTCCAGGCAGCCAAAAGGTCCCATTAATTTGGCAAAAATCTTCAAGGTCACCAATGGGTATACTGCCGTGTGCAGATGTGGAAATTCATGACTAAGTCCATTTTGGGGGAGGGGAGGGGAAGCAGGGGGAGCCAGAGAGGGTTAGGACCTTGAACCTTAACAATTCTCTAAGTAGAAGAAACAATCAGTAGGCCAAACCGGGGCTGTTCACAAGTAGAAATTCTAGAAATGAAAAAGGTACTGGAACATAGAATGACAACTATACTTGTGTACCATGCGGATAGCAAATATATGCTTATACATGCAAGGCTGATATATGTTGAGCCCATCAATAACAAATAAAAATCTTATAGCATTTCTGTGAGATAAAGACATTATCATGAAGTAAACAACTACTAAGGTGAATGCTGACAAAATTTAATCAGCAGCTTAACAGGGAAAGGATTGAGAAAACACGACAGAAGAAAATCAGAGGCTCTGATCTACAAGACAATTTCACCTATGCAACCAGATGACTGCACATGACTGACGAACAGGAAAAGCAATGAGACTTTCGCTGATAGAGCAAAATTTATCTATACTTACTTGAAACTAGTAGCCTTCACAAAACTTCAGTCTGTAATTTATTACTACAATCTCACTCGAATGACACATCTATGCAGAGATGGATACCTTATATAATATAAGTCAAGAAATGGCAACCATATTATGAGAATACTGCTTTCCATATTAATCATAGGCTAAGTTACTGCTACAGATTGACATAGAACAAATTTGAATTCCATACCAGTGAGTCCTCACTACCGCTGGCAATAAAAGCTTGCTCAAGTCCACCAAAACAAGACCTAATTATGAAACGGCTGCGTTTATGGCCTCTATATTTAGAAACAAGCTTCGGATCACCTTCTATATTCCATAGATGGATTTCTTGGTTTAAAAGATTTACCAGCAAGAATCTATTGTCTCTTGATGATGAGAACGAAGTTATTGTTTGATCTTCTTGAATAAATCTCTCAACTTTTGCTTCCCTGTCAAGTAATAATATTGTTGTTTCCCTACATATACTTATAATCTGCTTTCCATCACTTGCTATTTCCAAATCAGAAATTTTTAGAGTGCGTTGCCCTTTCCAGCACTCTAGCTCTGTCCCATCCAATTCCCACATGCAGATACTCTTATCATTCACACCAGAAAATATCCATTTGCCATCTGGAGACCATCCACATGAAACCATGCCAAGACCAGCTTTTTCATAAACATGGAGGCATTCACCAGAAGAGACATCCCAGCGCCTTACAACCTCCTCTACACCACATGTGAGAAGTTGATGATCATCAAGACTCCAAGAAACAGAAGAGATAGGTTTCTGGTGACCAGATAGTTTATGTTTTAAAGATACTCCATTTGCATCAACCTTCAATAAGTCAAAATATTAAAATGAGAAAATCGACTGATTGCTAGGCTTTTGAGTAAGCCAAAAGATAGTGGATTCAGAAGTGATCTAAACATTCTCACACATTAATACAAACTTTTTATGCTTGAAAATTAGATTCCAGCCAAGAGAACGTCTTAAGTTCACCAAAATCCTTGCATAATTGTAGAAAATTTTGAAAAGAAAAAGGTGGAGTTTCTGGTGTTTGAAAACTAAAAACTTGCCAATAGGAGAGAGAAAAAAAAAAAAAAAGAGAATGAATGTAAATAAAGTGCATTAAGGATGAAAACAAAATAGTGATTATTACTGAAAACACTACTTAGTTAGATGGAGGAGCTATTTTAACAAGTTTCTTAAATTTGGATACCAATAAAACCTTAAGAGGACTAAATAATTCAAAAGAAAATAAGATCATGCCTTCCATTGACATACTAAAAAAATGCAAGCTAAGGCAGTCTTTGATCAAGAACAGAAAAGCATTTTGCCCAGATGGTATCCAGACTAATGTATGGCAATGTATCGCAGAAGGAAAATATCTTGGCTTACAAACTTTATTCAATAGTCCAACACAATGCTAAATGAGGAGAGAAAGAGCACCCTTTCTTTCTTTTTTGAGAAAAAAAAAAACTTACCTATCTACAAGAAAAAAAGGACATACCATTACAAAGGCATCAAATTGATAAGTCATATAATGAAATTGTGCGAAAGGGTAACCAAACAGAAGTTGAGGAATGAGACTAACATTTTTTAAAATCAAATTGATTTTATCTCAATTAGCTGGACTATTAAAACTATTTATCTTTGAGAGCTTTGCTACAGAGATTCCACCTCAGGTATAGCTTTTTTGACCTTTCTATATTCTTCTAACTTTGGTGCATCCCACCTTTGAAGCTTTTCTTTTTTGTTTACTTGATTCTTAACTCTTACCTCATTTTCCATTCAGCGATTTTAATGCTGACTACCATGCAAAAATTCACAAAATCAGCATGAGAAAAAACGCAATTTTAGAGTCAAACAAACTAATCATACTCTATAGCACTGTTATCTAATTTCATTCTAACATACACCATTGTGATCAACTCTATAATTCCTGCCTAAATCACCAAAAGAAGTACCTCTTTTATCATATTCCAACATTTTCTATTTTGTTGCATCTAGGGGTACTTATTTTCGCTAAGGTTCCATTTTTATTGCTGCTTTGGCTATTTGTTCTCTGTTATTTGCTTTTCACCTCCATAAACTTGCTAAAAAGACAAAAAAGTATAGAGGAAAAAGATGAAGATCATATTCAATTAAAATGAACGAATGGCTAATTAATCCACACATTCAGACATAATTCCTCCATAAAAAAAATAAAATCATGCATTTTCTTATGCACAAAAGTCAAATTTTTAATTTTTCAAAAATACTAATCTACTTTCATATTCAAACACAATTTGTTTTTCACTTTTGGTAACAAAATCAAGTAGCCAAAATAACAACCAACCATACTCTAAGCTTAATCTCCAAGAAATGACATCTCTTTTTATCATTTCTTTCTTTCCTTATTTTATTATGTTGGTAGCAATTCTGTTGAAGATGGGGTAGAATATAAGTTACAAATGAACCACAAGGCATTAAAAAAAGGTGCCAAAATTCGAACATTGAAATTGAGCATCTAAGAAGATATGTTAGTAGATTTAATTAAAAGTGCATAAAAATTACTGAACCCATGTCTGCAATGGAGTATGAAGAACAGAGATGAAAACATAAATCAATTTATTACTATAGTTAGGAATTTAAAACTAAAAAGTTGCAAGACATAAGCTATAGATACAAGGTTTTATCCTCAACAAAATCAACATTATATGTTCCAAGTGAAAAGCAATACCTCCCAAATGATTGCTGACTGATCATTTGATGATGAAGCTAAGTATTTCCCATTATGTGAAAATTGCAAGAACCATACTTCATCAGTGTGAGCCTGTAGTATCTGTTGCAAGAGAAATGACTATAAGGATTAAAAAAATTGCAATAGTAATTCAAAAAAGGAAAAATGCAAGCCACAAGTAGATAAAATTACAGAGAAGGAATAAACAAACAGAAAATAGAATCAAGAATCAGCAAATATTCCAGTCAAAGGATACTAAAACAAATACACTTGTATGCATATGTTAACAATTAATCCAATCTTTTTTTCAGAGGCATGGCAATTTTGGACACAATCTACTAGCACGATATGAATACAACACAGAGATAAGTTGATTTGGGTGATGTATAATTGTGTTTGAGCGAACACACCTAACCTGTTTATGACCCGTTTATGCAACAAAAATATTCACGTGCTATGCAAACGAACACACCTAACCTGTTTATGACCCGTTTATGCATGTTTAATTAATCATATTAATAGGTTTGCCAATTACTCAAAATATCTAATATGTTTAAACACATTTATTAAATTATTAATATTTAAAATACATAAAAATAATAATATTATTCTTGTTTAGATATATTAATCATGTCTTAATGGGTAAATCATGTCTTGTCTAAACAAGTTGATCATATTTAAACGTGTTAACCATGTCACATTATCTAACCAGTGTAATAAATGTGTCACGTCTATGTCAAAGACTTTAACACGATAAACTAATCATGCAATGTTAATGTTAACTCTTACTTGTTATACTCTTACCTTGACACAACATGATTATGATCAGCAAATGCAATGCCAACCCAGGAATTTAAATTGCGATCACAGTTAAGTTTTCGGTTGCATAATGTTTATAATAGTTGTGTATATAACGGATGAAATAGCGGTCATCGTGTTTACTGCGGTCGTGAATTTTTTTTATTTTTGCACAACTCATCAAATTTGGGTAAATAATAATTTTATCCATGAAAACTCTTATTTTATGCTATCTAAAATAATTCATGACATTTTAATTCCTTTACTTATATGATAAAATAAATTATTATTTTTTATAACACAATTCGGCAATATACATATTAAAAGTGTTTAATATGCATATCCATGAATTTTACAATGATGACAAATGTAAATACATGAGATTAAAAAAATAGTTTCATATGTGAAATTATATTTTTTAAAGAAATTATATTTTTTAAAGTATATAAAATTAAGCTCATTAATTTTAAATTAACTAAAAAAATAATAGCTGAAAGTTTTAATATATTAATTAACAAGATACTTGTCAATCTAACTTAAATCAAAAAACAAAAAAATATAAAAACAATTAATATAACATAAGTAATACCAAATTTTAATCATTTACATTAATTTTTTAAAATGAAAATAAAACATATACTAAACTTATGAAAACAAAATACATTATTTATTGTATATATGTCCCTCTCAAATATTCAAAAAATTTTCTCAAATTTTCATTTCCCACAAATCATGCATCTTTCCCTCTCAAAATTTTTTTCCTTCTCAAAACTTTTATCCAAGGAAAGAGAAAAAAAAAAAATTTTAACTTTTAAAAAACCCATAAATGACAGCCTTTCAAATTTTCCTATTTTCCCAAATTTGCTTTCTTAAAATCTTAAAATAACTAACAACTCAGTTACACTTTAATTTTCATTTAAATTATCAAAAAAATTTTATTAAAATAACAATTTTCCACCATCCATTTATCTTTCTCTCTTTAGATTTTCACCTAAACAATTAAAGTCTAAAGCCACTTTTGATTTCGTGTCATAGATAAGCAACCTTCCATATGCCCCTTTCCCCAACCATCTTTGTGTTTCCCTTGGTTATTTCCACTTTTCTTCCCCAATAAAACCCTCATGACCCGACCCAACCAAATCATCCTTATGCTTTTTTCATATCATCACAATCTTTTCCTCAAGATTTTCAACGATAAAGTCTCGCCTATCTTTTAAGAGCAAAGATTCAAGATGATAACAAACCTGAAGCCAACACCCATGGAAACCATAACAGAGCTCTCTCTCACAACCGTCCCAACTAAAATGTTAAAACATGTGAAGAAAAATGGTAATTTTTAGTAAATATTTGTTTATTACCTTGAATCAATTCTATCTTTTTATATTGATAACGATTTAAATTTGTTTAATTTTGATTGAATTGACTAGATATGGAGTGGGTTTTTCTTTGTTTTGTTATGGAGCTGAAAATAAAAATGACAATAGCAGCTTTAGCGTCTCGTTACAATTGCTATTTTCCGCTATGCCACTATTTACGACTACTAAAAGCCGTTACACCAGTGAATCACCGTGCACACCTCTATTGCAGTAAAAAGCGTTGGCGGAGGATGCTGTAACCGCTAAATAGTGGCTGCTATTCTGCTAAGGGAGTGCTATTTGAAACCCAGTGCCAACCCTAATTTTTCCTTTCTCTTTAGTGAGGGAATTTGCAAGTAGGTACGATTTGGCTCCAGAAAGATCAAAAAATGGAGGAAAGGAAAATTGGGGGAAAAGAAAGTGAAAGAAACGTAAGCATTTTCTTTTTTACCCTATTAGTGTGCTTGGCAAGAAAGATAGAAAATAAAGGGAAAGGAAATTATCGTTATCATCCATTGCTCAATAGAATTGAAAGTGGAAGGGAAAAAATTAAAACCACATTATTTTACCATTATAACATTTTTGAACAGAAATAAGAGGACAATTAAAAAAAAAAAAAGCAAAAACCACATCAGTTAAGTCCATGTTAACATAATGTACATCCTTCCATTTTCTCTTCCACAATTTCCCCAAACTAGAAGGATTGATTTTTGTCATTATAGATAAAACGGCAATCACTTTTATTTTCTTTCCTCTCATTTTTTCTCCTACCAAATCTAAGTAAAAATTATTTTGTTTCCAACTTTCCATTCATATATTTCCATCTACCTACTTTTCTCTCCTACTAACCAAAGCCTAAGATGCCTGCCATATAATTACAAAACAATTGGTATCATTCATACATCCTAATGCAATATGAACTAATCTGGAATTTGACAAAAACAGAAGGCATACCAATAATGATATACAGATAATTTCTAGAAAAACTATTGTTAAGAGTATCCACCCGATACCTTTCAGCAGGGCTCGAGTACCACAGCCAAAAGTTTATAACTCTTTAATTGTTATTTAAGACAAGTAAAAACAATTTCCTCACAACGAAAAATGGGAATTAACAAAATCCAATAACCAGAATACTATGAACCTAATAACCAAATGAGAATTTGCCAAGAATACTTCTAAACAGGAAAATCCAACATCACCTGGAGCGTAAATTTTCCTTTAACTCTATTTGACATGTTCCACACCATGACTAAAAACCTCCTAAACTCCACCTAGTTGGTGGTAGAATATTGTTAAACCAGTTCTCCAAGTAGACATGGGTTGATGTGAGAGAGTTGCTTTACAAGAGGAGTCTCGTTAATCTACCTTAGATGATTCCGAGAGAACTAGTGACATTCCTGCTAAGAGGTTAGACCATACCTATCTCAAGGTAGAGTCTTTGAAACAAAGAAGGTTGCTTGTTCCACTCTTCCTAAGTATCATCAACCTCGGGGGATACTAGACCTTTGCCTTACACCGCCCTTGTTGATTGGCTTCCACAGACAAAAGATGTTTACAAACTCCCTTCTTCTTACCCCATTAGGCTTCAGCACAAGATTAAGACGGTTTCTCAAAGTCTTTATGCTCATCACCTCTTTGTTAAGGCCAGTCTTCATTTTCCCTTGCATCCTTTTGTGGTTGATTTCCTCAATGCCTCTAATATTACCATCTCCCAACTTTCTCCAAACTCATGGATGACCTTGTCAACCTTTGTAGTCCTTTGTAAGTTGGTGGGAATGGAACCTTCATTCGGCGTATTTAGAGAGTTTTATAAGGATTTTTGTCACAACCTTAGTATGACCGTGTTATGCTTCAAAATTTTACAGACTTTTCATCCTTTTGGCAAGCAAAGGCAAAGCTAAGTTAAGGAAACTAGGTTTAATGAACTATTACAACATAACATGAGTAGTTTCACTCACGTAGTTTATTATGATTGGAACAAACCTTTGCTACCAAAGAAAGAAGATACTGACTTGGACATTCACCAACTCAGAAAATGACCTTCCATTAGCATTTTCATTAAGAAATCACATTGAATTCCAGCATCACCAAACAATTATCAAAACAACATGATTAGGAACCTTCCTTGCAAGATTATTACAATCATGCATGAGATATTAAAGAGTTCACTATCTAGTCAATTACAGACTTCAAATCACTTCATATAGTCCACTAGCTCTATGACTTCTTCTAAGTTAGATCTGTTTCTTCCACATCATCTCTATTAAAGGTGAGAGCTTCTCAAAGAATGGTCTTTCCATTGCCATTTTCAGATCATAACAACCCTCCAGCAGACTTTTGAGGCTAGTGTAATAGGTATATGGGTAGAGAATGCCTCAAGATTGCACCTAATAAAGAAATTGTCTATCCAAAAAGATGTATTCAAACACTAATTAAAAGTGAAAGAGTAAACACTACAATTTAAAACCTAACTTACAGCCAAATACCTAATATCAGTTCTATCATGCCTGAATCAAGAAAAGATTATCACTAGCATGTAAATAAAACTGCTTATAGTTATAGATGGCAACAAATATCCATATTGACAGAGCACAACGTAAAATAGATTTCTAATTTCCACAAAACTAACACAAGAAAATGACAAAGAATGCATTGTGTACGATTTGTTATGACTGTAGCACATGAAAATTTGCATAAATAAAAAACTGTTAAAAAGAACTTAGAATTTTGCCATCTTAAAGTAAAGAATGAAAGATAAGAGATAAAGACTTAATAGCAACAAAATCTTATTAGAAGAATAGAATCTAACCTGCAATTCTTGAGAAGGAATTTGATCTCTCCCGCAGAGATGATCAGCATATAGTGACATTTCCTTATCCAAAGAGTTGTGAAACATGCAAGCATCTCGTTGCAAGACAAGTGCCTGTTCAACTAAATGTTCCAACCTTCTTTCGGGAATCATAACTGTTGGAGGAAGCAGCTTCTGTATTTCTTCCAATAATATAGTCCGAGATCTTGCCCTTAATGTTTCTTGTTTTGTAGACCAAACAGAAAAACAGTGAGAAGGTGACACAATGGACAAAGAAAGCTCACGAATTCTACTATTATTGATACAAAGAGGTGCAATCTCAGTCCTCAATGTCTTCAGAGCATCCATGACATTTTCTTCATCCAAAAGTTCAAAAAACTTCTGTTCCAATATCAGAAAAGAGGCTGATTTTATGATCCTTTCATCTGTTAGACCAATATTATGCAATGTGGCAAGACTTTTATTCCAATTTCCCTCAAGAATTTGTTGCATAAATTCATTGACCGGAGAAGAATGTAATGGTATCCCTGACTCTTCCTCTAGATGAGCACCACTCTTTACATAACCAAGAGAGTATAATGCTTTTGCTATTATTCGGACAAATTCTACCTTTTTTACTACTCCTTTTGAGCCAACAACTTCTTTGCCCCATTCAGACTGCAGAGGCTGAGCCATCAAGTCTCCTGAGGACCCAGCTATGGGCCCTTTAATAGTTGAACCGTTCGAAAGACGTCTCAGTTCTTCAGAGGATAGTTTTGTGCGTTTTGAGGCAGGTTCATCATCCTCTACACCTCCCATGAAATGTGCACCTCAGCCCATATATTATTGTAGTGGTAAAAAATGGCAACAGGGATAAATAGTAAAACCTCTGATGAATCATGGGGAGTACATCCCTGCATAAAATAGTCAAAAAAGAGGTTGTAGGTTCCTAAAATTGAGCATAAGAGAGAAAAAAACTGAAGAGAAACTTCACCATTATCAATGTGAGATTACAACAAAAAAAAATGATACAATTAGGTCTGGAAATAAATTACAATTATGAGAAGGCTAAATATTATTTCCTGAAAATAATCAGCTCAGTATCCCTCATAAAATGTGCATAAACAAGCCTTTTATACTTTTCCAATCTAGATATCATTTTCATTCTCATATACAAGTTCATACAACCCTGGTTGTCTTAATAATTAAAAGACCACCATTATACTAGAATGGTTATCAGTCAACCATTACAGAGTAAATGTAAGAATTTATACGATAAAGAGAAAGGTTTGGGTTCAAAGATGAAAGGGAGAAAGGCAGTGGGGACAAAAAATAAAAAGATGAGAATAGATCGAGGGCAGATCCTTAACGGCATCCATAGGATAATTCAGCTAATCATAATAAATTCAATAGAACCTTCAACTGTAAAGAACAATGATCTTATGAGCTTAGAGTTACCTCAGCCAATCATAATAAGTTCAATATAAGCTTCATCTATAGAGGAAAATCATCATAGGAGCTTAAATTTCTAGCTAGGTAAGAAAATCAATTTTGATTAAGATGTTAGCTTCCCAACATCAAGTTTCCATTTTCCAGCTATTGTGTTCAACATAATGGTTACAATCTCGCAATCAATCATTTTCAAAGTACCCCAATAAATGACTCAACTCATCAGACACACTTAATTGCAGCTGGTCACATCATTTGTGGTTTACTTCCTAAGCTATAAAAACAATGATAACTTCCCCGACTTGGGGATAGAGACATGTTTGGAGGAGCTCAATGCACGCCCACTTGAAATAATTTTTATGACTGCAAGAAAAGTAAGGAGATCAAGTTGTAATTAAAGACAAGGGTTAGTTTTTTAAAAAAAAAAAAATCAATAGTACAGCTATTATTAAGAATTTCACATGCTCATAAATAGCAGATCTTAGTCGTCTATCCAAAAACAAAACACACACACACACACACAACTTTGTCACTGTGTAGCAATGGCTATCATGATGACTTTCATGGTCTATCCAGAATAATAAACAAATATTTTACACTGTACAGTGATGGATATCATATAGGCCACAAAAGGCTGGATAAGTCTACCTATTAGTCAGTATAAGGAACCCAAGGTAAATTGGAGGCATACCTAACCTGAAATTTCAGCCGAAAAATAAAATTCTGGGGAACTTGTGCTTGTAAAGACAAAATATAAAAATCACTGAACTTCCCTTACAGTTTAAGGATTAGAACAATTTGTTAATTTGATAAAACTAAAGATCCTATAAACACGAAAGAAAATTAATACATCATTCTTTCTACAAATAAGAATTTAACCTTAATGACTTTGTACCCAATATGGAAAACAAAAGGAACATTTTGCTAATTTGATATAACTGAAGATCCTAGAAATAAAAAAGAAAACCAATATAAGAATTTAACCTCAACGTATTTGTATCGTAAAGGGAAACAAAAGGGACAGACAGTTTCAATATATGATTCAGAGATTATTCTTGCCATACTATTCTTATGCAGAATGCTTTTTGAGAATTGCAGGGATTGCCTCTGAATTAGTCATATTGGAACAGTGAATTAAAAACGTTTAAAGCAATTCTACTGCTATTACACATCATATGCTAACACAATCTGGCTTTAAACTTTGTTGTTCTTGAACATTTTCTTTGTGATAAAAAGTTTTCAATATTTATAACACCACAGTCAACTATAAACAAAAAGCATTTCGAAGTACAATCTTTGCTACTTTAGTTCACTAAGCTGTGCAAGTGCCGATGTTTGCAAGCTCAGGCAAAGTTGGGGACTTCAACCATTACTTAGAATTATCATCATATCCATCTGCAAAAGCAACTTACTTTTTATACATTTGGATCAACCTATGCAATTCAAATGCAGTGGCGAACAAGTCTCTTAGCACAACTTCTTTATCAGAAATTAACATGAAAAGAGAAACATGGACAGAAGCATAAAGGACTCAGAACGAATAAGTTTTGTTCTACTAGGACAGGGACGGAAATTAAGCAGTCACAATTCTTAATATCAATGTGCAAGCCTGAAAAGATTGCAGATTCTAAAAAATCAAGTTGTCAACTCACAGGTTGAGAAATTCAAATGCTCAGTCGTTTATAAGACATAACTAAATTTCGAAATCTGCATTTATAATTGATTGAAGGAACCAAACTGCCACAGTATCCATATATGATGAGGTTCAAGCTAAACAAATTACATTAAAAGTATGATTATCATTTGAAACAGATAAAAGCAAGTACCATTTTCACCAATGGTAATATGTAGAATGAACAAAGAAAATGATTTTAGTTCCAAAATTGAATAAAAAAGTTCCTAGCAGAAATGAAGGAAACCCCACATCAGAAATAAAGTCAATAATGCAGAGTCACTACAATACCAAGCAGCTAAAATAAATAACATCGAAATATACTAAGAAAAAGCGACTAGAAAATTAGCACTATGGCAAAACCTACCCAAAACCAGCAGAAAATTAGATTGCAAGGTAAATCAGAATTTAAGGGTAAAATTAGCAGTAAAAAGAAATTTCTGAAATACCCAGAAAGGGATTACGATCTAAGAAGCCGATTCAGATCAGAAAAATCGGATTGAGAATCCAATAAAAAAGAATTTTGAATAAAAGGTGAAGAAATGGTGAAGACCAAGATGAAAAAACGACAACCCTTTTTAAATTATTTGTCGTCAAACATTTGATTTACGTAACAAACATGGGAAATGAATAGAATAAAAGCCTATAAGGATTAAAATCAGATACGAAAGTCCAAATGGCTATCCGTACCCAAGGGAAGGTGTTTGGTAACCTTTGCGAGGTGTGAATTGAACTACATTAGTTAGCTTCGGCAATGGGCTTTACGGACAAGTTTAATCTTCTCAAATCTAAAGCTTTATAAGGCCAAATTTTGCTCTTTACACTGGTTTCTTTTTAACACCCCAATTTTAAACTGAATAAATTTTTTTTACATTCTACACCCCTCAACCCTAAACTTGCAATTCTTTTCTTATCCTCGTTCTCTCATTCCTTTTTCTCATTTGATTCTTAGTTGAATTAATATCGGCAATTTCAAGTTTCAGAAAAAATTAACGATTTCAAATAATCCTTTCAGAGTATAAAGATACATATATATATATATATATTTTGTGATTGAATGGAATTAAATACCGTAAATTATGTTAGTTTTTTATGTGAAAATGTGTTTTTATATGACTTTGTAAATTTTTCAATTTACATTTTCGAAAACTTTTAAAAACTTTTAAATATGTAATTCAAGAAGCTTTTAAAAATTAAAACTTTTGGATATGCATATATGAAATCTTTTATAAATTTTTTAATATGTAAATTCATAAATTTTTTCGAATTTCCTTAAATATAAATCCAGAAGCTTTTATAAGCGTAAAATTTTAATAGTTTTAATGGTTTATACATCCTTTTCATCCCAAACGATTTATTTTCTGTTTTGGGTATGTATTTATATAGCGTACAAGATAATAACAGTATTTTTAATAGTTTAATGTTTGTGATGGACACGAAGAAAAAATGAGGAGAAGAAAAAAAAAGAATAAAAGAAATGGGTGTATTAAAAGGTTGAAATATAATTTAACAATAATTAATTAAGTAATTTTATTTAGAGATATTTTTATAATAAAAACATTTAGATATATAGAGAAACTAAATTAATATCCGATGCGATGCATGAAATAATTTTATTTATTTAATTTGAGTATATACATATAAATTAATTTTTTAACTATATTTAAATTTTTAAAATTTATAACATATATAAAATTCATATATAGTGACTTGTCATTACCTTTGATTTTTTTTGTTTACAATAATATTTATGCACTTGCAAAATTTTATCAAATAAAAATAAATTTTATGGTTTTTTTTAAATAAAAATATATGTATTATTGAATGATGAATTAAATAAAAAAAGTATTAACATACTTTCACTTTTATAATCTTAACTAAATTACTATACAAAATATAAAAATATTAGAAGATATGTGAAAAAAATAAATTAAAAAAATATTATTTGTCATAAGAACAAAATTATAATAGTAAAAAAATATATCTTGGAAAAGAAGTTATACAAAAAAATAAATTGTAATAGTAATAGAATATACCTTGAAAAAAGTTGTAAACTGAAAAAATAAAAAAATTGATATAACACACTATATTCATAGTCTTAAATTTGTAGAAAAATTCTTTAGTAGCAATTAAGATTAAATAGATAATTTTTAAATTTAAAATGAATATAATAAGTGATAAAAGATAAAATCAAAATTTTTGCATATATTTAAAATATAAATTTGACAATAAGAGTTGATATGGATATAATTCTTTTGATGATTTTATTATTTAAAAATTTAATATGAAATGTTATTTAAATTTTTAATGTCTTACGTAAAATTATTTCAATTTTCAATGTTTTATGTAAATTTTTTAAAAATTATTTTTTATTGATTCAAATCAAGAAAAAACAGATTTTTGAAAGTTTTGAATAAACTTAATCTTTGTAATTTTAAACATATTTGAAAGATTTTGATAATTAAATAATTTCTTAAATAAGGTTATTTGATAAATGATTAAAATTATTTCTTAGGAAAATAAAATCCATATTTCATATTTTTAATTTTAAAAAATATATCTTTAAATTGATTTGATTTTCAATTGTAGTTTGAATAAATTTAATATTTGAATAAATTTAAAATTATTTAATTTGTAATTTAAAAAAAAAAAACCTATCTTACTCTTTTAAAAAACTATTTTATGTCATTTCAAAGACTTTAACGTAAACATCCATATGACAAACCTCATGAGACGTATATATATGTTGTGCTATAATATATACATATGATTCTTAGGATGCAAATAGAAGCTCTCCTTTTTAAGGCCAATTCAAGCCAAACTTGACCAAAGCCTTGATGATGGATTAGGCTTGTAGAAAACCTATGGCCTAGTAATACCTATTATGACTATAATGATGATTTAAATATTGAATTCTACTTATTAAAAGTAAGAGTTTAATATTATATTAATATATTACATAGTTGTTAACTCTAAGTCTTTTATAATGTTTTTAGATTTTGGAAGCAATAGAATTTAATTCTATAAAAAAATGTTAATATGTATTTAGTGGCTAGTTTTACCAAAAACTAAATTGATTGATTAAATTGAAAACCAATGACATGTTTTTATCCAAAAAATGATATATGAATCCATGTCTCTCTCTCTCTCTCTCTATATATATATATATATATATATATACACACACACACCATAATAAATTTTTAAAATATTTCAATATGGGATTGTGGTATTATAAACTCTTTCGTTAAAGTGACGTTCTCATCAAATCTAATACAGAACATACAAAACTAGGATCACACTATAAATTAAAATTCTAGAGGTGGGTTCGACTGTGTAGCGCTTAACTTCTTCTAGTTGGTGATTGTTTTGATACAAATTGTAAAGACCTATACCTAACTTGTAAAATAATATCCTTTTTTTGCCTGAAAGTTTTATGGTTTATCCCATAAAAAGAAACCTTACAAATATGGATTCAAATCTTTATAAATATATCATAATAAATTCTCAGAATATCTCGATATTAAATTGGGATGTAATACAAGATTAAAAGGTTGTTATATACTCATTTAATAATTAATTAATACATATTTTAATGAAACATGTGTCGACTTTTTAACCTTATTTATAGAGTTTAAAACTTCATCGTCAACCTTTATCTATTTATTTATTTATCTATATATTATCTATTTTGAAAAAGAACAATTATAATTGAGTTTAAAAAAGTTTGGGGAAAAAGGATTCAAAACTTTTTTTTAATGTTGTCAATTTACGAATAATTTTATAAAAGTTAGTGACTGCTATTAACGAAACTAAGTCACATGAAGTTAACATTTAACAATATAAAATTTCATATGTTGGTCTTATTAACAATAATCATCAACTTCTATCATAAAAATTCCATAAATAGATACAATCAAAATTGATGAATTCTAATTTGAAAAAAATAATAGGTTGAATATTGAAATTAAGAATTCAGTAGTAGTTAAATCTTTAATGAGATTGTAACCCTTTGGTCTATCTATATATCTATCTATATTATGTTGATAATTAGGCTCCATTTGGTAATGAGGAATTGATTTTCTAAAGGAAGATATTTTCTATGGAAGACATTTTTCAAAAAACCAAATATTTTCTATTGTTTGGATGATACAAGAAAAAACTATTTTCCGTTGTTTGAATGATTCCTCAAATAACCTTTTCTACTAACAAGTCATGTTTACCACGTTTAATGGGACAAATAAAATTCATGGATGAACAAAGACAAAATAAAATTTCAGAATTTCAATTATAATAAGATTTTAAGAAAAAAAAAGTATAGCAACAAAGTTTAAAGATTAGAAATTAAAGAAAGAAAAAAATTATAAAAATGGAAGGATTTAAAAATCAAACCTTTCAAAGAGAGAAACTTGAAGTTGAACCTGGTGCTGAACAATAGTGCTTTACCCACAAGAAAGCCACAAAGCAATTGGTGCTAGAATAAGAGACCCATGAAGCAACTAGTGTTGGAACAAGAGACCTACCAAGCAAATCAAATATAAGTGCAAAAACAAAAAAAAAAAAAAAAAGAAAAAAAAAGAGTGAAAAATCAAAAGGAATTTGTAAGTTTTGATAGTGGCTAGAGATGGAGAATGGGTTTTGGTTTAAGAGAGATAATAGATTGTCGGTACAATTTGGGGCAGTAAAAGTGATGAAAATTGTCTTTTACAAAAAAAAAAAAAAAGGAATTCAATTTTTATATGTTATGATATAATTTTTTGTTGACCTGAAAGTAATTTCCCTTAACTATGCTATTAATACCCTTCCAAACATAAGAAAATATGGAAAATGACTTCCAAAATCGATTTTCCTCATTACCAAATAGAGCCTTAAACATGTCAAAAGATAAAAATGCATAAAAAGTTTTAAACTTTAACTCTTAAAAAAAAGATCACACATTAGGGCAATCTTCTTAAAACACACAAGCCCCACAGATGTCATTTTTTAGGGCATATGCTTACACATATCCTAAAGTGCCATTTCATAGCTACACTAACCCTGCCTTTGAAGCAAATGCATATAATCCAATTGAGATTCCTAATTTGGATAATCTTAAAGAGAAAGAGAGATTGAAGATGAAAACTTTTAAGGTGATGGAAGATTTAAGCACATAATAAATGAACCTTTTAGAAATGAGAGTGCGAGCTATCGAAAGAATGGGTTATTTTGGCTTTATGGATGTAGTTGGACTTTGTTTAGTCCCAAATGTGATTATTCCACTAAATTTTTAAGTCCCTGAATTTAAAAAATATGATGGGATAAGATATTCAGTAACTCATGTTTCTATGTACTATTGCAAAATGGCTGTCTATGTTTAAAATAAAAAACTATTAATGTATGTATTTCAAGTCAATCTTACTAGCTCAGCCATGAGGTGGTACGTCCAGTTAGACAAAGCCCATATACATTTTTGGGATGGGTTGACAAAGGCATCTATTACCCAATATTGACACATTATAGATTTAGCTTCAGATCGTCTATCTCTACAAACTATGAAAAAAAAAGCTTCAAGTAAAATGCACAAAGGCAGAGAGATATGATTGCTTAAGTTTAACCTTTTCTTACTGAAAAGGAACAACTATTTTATTTATAAGTACTTTGAAGTCTCCATATTATGAAAAAATCATTGAGAATGCTA